GGTCCACGCCCAGACCTAGGAGAAGCCGGGTGGGCGTCAGCAGCAGGAGATCTGGGCTGAGAGCCCTCTTCTATCTCCAGCTGGAGGACCAGACCCCGCCGCTCGGGGTGGGGGCTTGAGAGGTGGGGGAGTGGTCCAGCCTCGCCTGGTCCCGCCCCTGCACTCAGGTCCCACCCATGGCGTCAAAGTCAGGAGGCGGGACCCAGCCGGGCTCCGAGTCCTTACTTTTGGGTTCCACCCCTGGGTTTGGCCTGTCCCGCCGGCCCAACCCCCTTCTGATGCTCCAAGCCTCAGATCCTGCCGTCTGGTCTGACAGTAGTGGTCAGGCTGTCCCTCTTTACACTTAACTCAGATCCTGTCCCTCGTTTCAGGAACCCCTCCTTGAATTCTGGCTTCCTCCTCAATCCCAGTCCTGGCCTCAGGTCCTGCCCCTAGCTGGGCAGGGTCTGACATCTCCCAGCGGCTAACCCAGCCGCGAGCTCCGCCTCCACGGTGTAAGGCCTGGTTCCCAGATCAGATCCCTGCCTCTAGCCCCAGGTTCCCTCCTAGCTTCAGAGCCTTGTCACGACTCTACTCTTCATCACGCCCCTTAACTTCAGGCCTCAGGATTCTGACTTCTCCATCCTTCCCAGGATCAGCCTCCTGGCCTCAGGATGTTGGGTCAGGCAGCCCAAGGTTCAGCCTCGACCTTGGGCTCCGTCTTCTTGCAGACGGCCATGCCCTGCCCCTAGTCTCTGGGTAGTTTGGTCAGGCCTTTTCCAACACCCCATCATCATGTTTCAGGCCCCGTTCCTGCTCCAGGTCACGCCCATTCCCAAGACTAGGCATTGGGCCTTTTCTCTACCCCTTCACATCCGCGCCCTGCCCCCGGCCAGGCCCCGCCCACTGTACCAGTCTTAAGCACCAGCAGGTGCAGAGCATCGTCTTGCAGGTAGGAGGCGGCGGCTATCTCGTGCGTGGGAATGCGCAGGATGAGCTCCTCGTTGTCGCGCCAGGTGAGCAGCAGGCAGCGGGCGGACAGGCTCAGGATGCTGTCCTGCTCCGCCGTGGTCTTCAGTGGCAGCTCTTTCAGCTGCTGTGGGGCGAGTCGGATCTCCTGAGTCCCGGGGGCTTCGGGTGGAAGAGGAGGGGAGGAGACCCTGCCCTTCCCTCTCCTCGGAGCCTCACCCTGGCTGTGTCCAGCAACTGCAGGAGCTCGTCCCGGCTGGAGGGGTTCAGTGAGGAGGTGACCCAGGTGAGATGGCCCAGGAACTGGATGGAAACAGAGCGGGGGTGTAGGGGGTGGGAGAAGGGCAGAGAGATGTCATTATGAAGCCTTGGAGGACCCTGACCTCCTCACTGACGCAGTGCGGGTAGACTGACATAGAAATATCTAAATTAATAATAATAAATATAATAATTTATAATAATAACCTGATATTAACTGTTATTAAAGTGGTCATAGGAGCCAGATATAGTCTAGAGAGCATTATGCACTTATTCATCCTGCTTTAAAATTTTTTTCTTTACATATTTTTTAATGGAAGTCCTGGGGATTGAGCCCAGGACCTTCTGCATGCTAAGCATGCACTCTACTACTGAGCTATACCCATCCATTGCCCAAACTTGCTTTAAGGATAAGAAAACTAAGGCATGGCAAAGCTAAACCTACCCAATATGTTAAAGCCACAAATGGCAAAACTGGACCCCACACAACAGAGCCCACACTCACACTGTTAACTTATTTTTGCTAAAATCAGCTTATTTTATGAGCACATAGCTATTTAGCTATGTTGGAAGCAAAAGTCACTATAATAGCTTGAAGGAACTGACCACCTGTGATTTCCTGCTTGGCCTGATTGGCTCTGTCCACCCCAAGGAACAGTGTCAACTGACTGTGTAGGTCACTGGCCCTCTTTATAATCTTGTTGAAAAAGTTAAATGGAAAGGGAAGAATGTGTTGTATCAAATTACTGTATAATTTTGTTAGAAAAATGGTATCTCAAATCAGTAAATTAATTCTTCATTCATTCTTAGACATAGCTTAATGTTATCACAACTTAAATATTACTCATTATAAGAAGTATAACTTTTTTCATTATTTTTAGTTTTATTCTTCTAGTTGAGTTTTACCAATAAGCCACTTCTTTTTATTCTCAATGAAATTTCAGTCCCCATTTTTTTTT